TTATTAATAGTTGTGTTTAGCTAAAACAAATCCAATGTGAGACCAAGGAGGTACTATGCATGTGTTTTAGGCTTAACACTAATCAATATTAATACTGTTTTGGTTTCTACCCATCAGTTAATAATAATGTATCACTTGGTAAGCACTAATGGCTGGTTTGGTAATTTGAACATGAGACAATTCTCTAATGGCTCGAAAATCTCTTTCACTTTAAGGGTGTTGGGGCCATGTCATTGCTATAAGCACTTTTTAATTTCTATATTAACCATGTAAGGAACTTCACCATCCTCCACAAAGTAGATGTTTTACATGGTACAGTACCAAATGTTTTATAATGTCTTACCATTTATGCTAAATAATTAAAGGTTTTAATTAATTAATGTGTCAAATTGCCTCATGATTTACAAATTATGTGCATTAGCCTCTTAGAATAAATACTCATGCACCTTGTACATGGGAATGACATATTTAATTATAGAATAGAACAAGTGTTAAATATTTGAAATAATTACATATTTGTGACTAAAATAAAAATTGTTTACAAAAATGTGACTAGTGACTAGTTTAGTAATGAAGTTGTAGTCACTTATGTTCAATTTTTAAACTTAAGTTATCATGACACTACATTGTAGTAGTAACTATTAGTCATATTTATGCAAATAAATTTTACTTTAGTAATATTATTGTAAATTAAAAACTCCTAAATATGTTTTCAATTAGGACTGAATGAATCATATTTTGAGAATTAAGTAAGGATCATCTTTTTTCCAAAAAAAAGTAATGATGATCTTATTTATGCACTTTATCTATATTTTACTTCTATTTCCGGAATTTTAGTTTCTTTCATATGATATAGGGTTTGATTTATTTCTTAAATCACAACTCACGACTAGCTAATTTGCAAGATTTGTACTCCCTCCTTTCTTTTTTAACTATCTCGCATTTCTTTTTGAGACATTTTTAATTATTTGTCCCTCTTTCCCTTTTTGGTAAGTTTTTTCAATCAAAATATCTCTATACCCCACTTTTATTACCATTACCCCTTTCTCTTTCCTACTTTTTCATTTACCCACAATTCACTACACTTTTTACACTACCCCTATTATTTTCCTCTTAAAACCCGTGCTAAAGTCTAAGAGGACTCATATTTAAGAACGGAGGGAATATATGATTAAGGATTTTACACATTAAATTGAATAACCTCTTTAATTCTCTACTCTGTTTACTTTTCTTCTTACCAAACACCTACACTAGAATGAGTTTATTGGCAGTTTAATAGATTAATGTGATGTGAGCTTTTCATACTCAAGTGCTTTTATATTATTTCAATTTCAGCTCCTGAGAAGAAGCATAGGCTTCCATCTGCCTACAACCGGTTCATGAAGTAAGATTTGTGCTTTCAGTTCACGTTACATGGAAAAGTGAAATGGAAAATTTTCGAAGTGGGATTAAAAATATTTGGAATTCGAAAATAGGACTATCATATTTGTATTTTATAAATACGAATAACTATTGACAAACTTGAAAAATACTGTCATGTTTAAAATCTGATAATGTATGTCAAAATATTGCAGTAATTACTTCCATTTAGAAAATAAAAACAGCATACTTACGTTGGAACTCACACATGTTTTTACTCTTATCTAAGTCAAATTTTTTAAGTGAAAACTAAAAGCATTGTTTTACTACTATTATTATTAGAAATAATTACATAAATATGACCAAAATAAAGATGATTTACAAAAATATGACTAATGACTAGAGTAGTAATGAAATCATAGTAATTCATGTTCAAGTTTTGAGCTTAAGTTACAACAACACCACATTGTAGTAGTGAATAGTCATATTTAAGTAAATATAACTTATTTTAGTAATATTCTTGTAAAAAACTCTCATTATTATTTTATTTTATTATTGTTGTTGTTGTTGTAGTTATTGTTGTTGTTCGTATGATTATATTAACATTATCATTATCACTATCATTATTATTATACACGGAGTGTTTTATTATTAGCATAATTATTATCATGGTTATTAATTATAATTACTTAATTGGTAAGGGAGGAGATTCAGCGCATCAAAGCAGCCAATCCAGAGATACCACATCGTGAAGCTTTCAGTGCTGCAGCGAAAAATGTATGTTTAATTTGATGTTTTAAAATCATTTCAATCCCTACAAATATGACATGTTTTATTTAGACGTTTGCAAAAACAAAAAAAAAATGTTTTTATCCTGTGATATGCATTATTCCCAACTAAAAACGTTTTTATATTCCAAAATAGGACTATCATGTTTTTATTCTCAAAATAGGATTAATTACTTTCATGTTTTGGTAGTATCTGACTTTAAACATGGCAGTATTTTCCAAACGTGGCAGTAATTACTCATATTTTGGTAATAAAAACATGAGAGTCCTATTTTGGAATTTTCAAACTTTTTTACTCCTATTTCGGGAATTTTCTCTTATTTTATTTGAGCCCATTTCAAACTCGGAAATGAACTAAAACAAAAGGTACTACATTTACCAAAAATTGGGTAAACCATATCACAAGAAAATGTACAATTGACAATTCAATGTCACTAATATTCATGCTATAATACTTTTGACATTTTTTAGTGGGCAAGGTACATCCCAAACCCGTCAAGCAGGTCCACTTCGGAGAATAACATCAATGTGAGAATACATATTTTCTTCTGCCATTTTAATTTTGTTTGTAGATGTTTATTTACTTATTCGGTAAACCATAAGGGTATTTATTTATTTATTTATTTATTTATTTATTTATTTATTTATTTATTTACAAAGTATTTACAATTTACTACACAAAAACTTTATACTCTAGTCTCTTTATGTTGTTTTACTTTTTTAGGTTTAGAGCTTTGAGGATGGATGAAGCAAGTTTGGGATTTCATGAGAAATTAATTAATTCACGAAGGGGACTCGGTTCAATTTGTTTCATGTTTCAACTATTTATTGTATCCCTTATTTGTACTTTCTGACGACTTATCAATATAATTTAGTGAAAGTAGCTAGATTATTGTATCACCAACTATTATTTATCATATCCATTTTCGCACATTTTAATTGAAAAAGTTTCTTGTGTTATTGATGATAATGATGATGTTTTTAATTGTATTGAAATTTTGTGATCAGATTTTGTTTAAGTTTAGTCCGGTATGATATGGTATAATAAATGTGTGATTTATATGTGTATATCATAAAGTTTGATTTGGTCTGATCTGGTCTAATTGGTTTGTATATATTACCTTTGTCCTATTTGACATTGCCATATTTTTATTAGATATGAAATAAAAAAGTAAATGCCTTTTTCCATTAATATTACTAAATTAAATTTAATAGACAAAAATATGAATTATTTTTAAAAAATTCAAAAGATGACATAATTAATGATTAGTTCATAGTGATTAGTCATCTACAGTGACTTGCTATTCTAAAAGACACTACAGTGACTTGTTTATAGTGATTCGTAAACAGTGACTAGTCATCTTTTTATCCAAAAACATAACTAATCATATTTTGTCCGTAAATTATATCATGCAAACGGCGCACCATGAGGATGGTGCGCTCGGTTGCAAAACGACGGAGTATTGTGGCCTGGCCGGTTCCATTATTTTTTATTCCTTTTATTGTTAAAAATTGTAATAACTTTTTATTTCATATCCGATTTTTATAAATTTTATATTAATCTTTTTTTATTTTTCATTATCTATCAAATGAGACCAATATTGCTTATGTAATTTTAACAAATTATGGAACTATTATATAAATGATTATTGGATTATAAGGAAAATTGAACTAAATTTAATACAGAAAAATAATTGTGTAAATCACAATTTATCTTAAAATTGTGCATATAAAAAATTTATTGTATTAGGTATTTATACATGTGAGTTACATATTTTTATATGTGCAGTTACATATTTTTACATGTAAAGTTACATATTTCTACACGCGAGTTACATATATATACACACGAGTTGCATTTGACATGCCTGAACGCGAATTACATATATTTACACGTCAAGTTACATATGTTTACACGTAAAGTTACATATTTATACACGCGAGTTACATATTTATACACACGAGTTGCATTTGACCTGTCTGGACGCGAGTTACATATTTTTTTACGTAAAGTACATATTTTTAGACGTAGAGTTACATATTTATACACACGACTTGCATTTGGCCTGACTGAACGTGAGTTACATATTTTACCACGTAAAGTTACATATTTTTACACGCAAATGTTAATAAGTTAAAATTACATAGGCAATACTGGTCTCATTTGAAAGATCATGAAAAATTAAAAAAATTGATATAAATTTTATAAAAATCGGATCAAAAATAAAAAAATTATTAACATTTTTAAGAAAAGGAGAAATAAAAAATAACAAAGCCCACTGAAATTTGGGATGTTATACCATGCGCACCGTGGGACGGTTGCATGGTATAGGAACGGTAACTTTATTAGTAATATAAATGTCATTTTCAAAAAGTAAAACTTTTATAGTTGAAAGTTTGGCAGAAGAGAAAAATATACACAGCTACAAATTGATCTTATGCTCAAGTTATTAGGTATTTATTAATCACATGGTTAAACAAGAAACGCTATTCTGATCTTTGAATCCAAAAATTCCCAAAATGAATCCGTACAAACAAGACCTTGTTTGAGAAATTGCTGTAAATATATTTGTTTATCCCACCTAATTGGGAGTTCCATTATGGAAACCTTTTCCTAAATTTTGAATGAAGTTTGGCAAGGATACTACATCAGTCGAAAGAAATTAAGCCCTGTCATGTGTAGTAATGTGATAAAAAAAAACAAATTTATGTATATATGGTTACATATAGTGCATTTAGGAAAGAGTTGTACAGTCTTAAGTGATTTAAAGAAGCTAGACAACAACATAAAAGAGCTACTAAGAAAAGACAAACTTTCCTTCTTTTAATATTTATATGAATATTGAAAACTGTCTCACCTTGAGTAACTATTTATAAATGAATGAATCTCTTTGTAAGAGTTGAACTGTCCTCACTTTTCATTAAATTTTCCAAGGCTAAGTTATGCTGAACCTTATTCATAACCAAGAAAATCTTACAACTATATAAATATTCAACCCACTCTTGCACTTTTGAAAACCATCACTACTTCTACACATGTGTAAACAGAAGCACTCTAATAACTAAATGCATTTGCAGATCCTCAAGTGGTAGTAAAACAGAAGTTACAGCTATCTTGTTTAACCTGTGCGTAACTTCTCTGCTGCTCCACTCTAAGTAGATGTGTGGACAGCTGCAGCAGATCAATGGTTTCCCCGCTTTCGGAGGACATGTGCATATTCAGATTCCAAGAATCTGATATGTGCAGATTCCTGTCCATTTCAGCTTCACAGTTCAAGCCAATATTGCCATCACTATCTTTACGAACGCTTTCCCACTCCGCTACTCCAAAGTTGTCCAACTCGCTTAATGGATAGCTTAGAACGTTTTCATTATTTTCTGACAGAAGAGAGTGAGAAGCTATGAAATTTTCTCCCCTGCAGAGTTCTTGAACTGGTTTTGGTTGTGGCAAATCAATGAGTCTTTCTTCAGGATCATACTTTTCTTGAAAAAAGTGGTTGTTGCTGAGTACTTCTGGGAACAAAAATGAGACAGTCTTTTCTGCAGTCAAATCTAAGAGCCTTGGCCCTGCAATATCTGTGTAATACATTAAAATAAAAACCATCAACTTAAAAGTGTGCTTTGTTTTCGAGAAATAGCTGAAGACATTGTATGTGTCCTTATAAAAGCGGGTTAGAACCGATCCCAAACACTTGAACTAAGACTTGAATGTTGTTGTTGACTAGCACTAAAAAGACTAATGCTTAAGCCTGTGCGTTGTTAGACTAATCAGAATCAAATTATACATTTGACCTAGCTTAATGTTATATGATTCTATTAATGCAGACCTGTTTCAATATTAATGGCATGTACGGTTTGGGAATTTAGGAGAGAATGAGAGGAGGATTGATTTTTCTTTTACTTACCTCTATGTGTTAGTTTAGACTTTAGACAAGAAATAACTCTATGCTTAGGTAGATTAGATATTTCTTTACAGTATTTAATCTCCACTTTATTTCCAATTGCCTACACACCGAAATAGTTTACTCCGTAAAAATGAAAAATCACCCGTCGCGCTACCTGCCCTGCAATCCCCTAACCAAAGTAGCTCTAAGAGTCAAGTGATAGGGTAAGTGGCTTATGACATTATATGTTGGTTGATTACATTAAGTACTGCAAAATATAAGTACTGGTCAGAACAAAATGAAGTCATTTTACCCCAATGAGATTCGCGCAGAGGCTTTCGTCTGCGCTCATTGTGGCCTGCAAGGCGCTTGCGACAGCTTCTTTTATCATCATCAAATTCTGCTAGCAAATGAAACCTGCATCATTTAATGTTATTGCAGATGCACCCAAGAACTCCTAACTAGTAATATATGAGGCAGTGACAAGTATATCAACCATTTAGTTCATCTCTCTTCCTAATACATTATTATTTTCAACTGTAGTTTATTGAAAAAAAACATCAACATAGATAATGTTGCATTTTATTAGAATATCCCATACTGGGAAGTTAACAAAGTTTCGCAATATAATAACAAAAATAAGACTAAAAGAGAAATAACGAACAAAGATGTGACTTTTACCACACAGCAACCATGTAATTTTACCATGTTTGTGAAGTGAGTGGCCGAGTGTAAAAATATTTTTGCCCATAGCTTTGGTTTTAGTAATATAATAGGAAAAAACCTAACCTCATAGTCTGTTTCAAGTTGATATTCATTCTGGAGCTCCAGCACTAATATGTTGTGGTCTTATTTAAGTTTTAACTTAAACCCCTTAATTTCTTACAGACAATAGATTTGATCATAACCAAAATGTACTTGGTGAAAATGCTAAGATATGATTACAAACAATTGTTTTAGCGTTTATGCTATGAATATATAAAACATTAAAAAGTAAGCTGAAAGATTGAGCATACCTGCTACATTGCTGGCAAAACCGCTGCTCGATGCCATTAACAATGACTTTGGCCGTCTTAGAGTGCTCATCACACACTTTATGCCTCTTGTGATAGTCTTTAGAAGAACTCAGGTCCCGGTCACATCCATGAACTTGACAAATAAGGACTTGTTTGGTACTAAAATTAGTGACTCGAGCCCTTTTCCCTTCTTTGGAATCATTCATTACCATCTTCTTTGGATTCATTCGTTTCTTTGGAGCCATAACTAAGCATGACTTTGAGTCGATGAAGACGGGATTAGCATCACCAGTGCAAAGTGCTGTTTGCCTAAGATCATTATCAGTTTTGGATCTCTGTAGCATTTCTGCCAAACCGGATTCTATGAACTCTTCTCCTTCATGATGATCAGAGAAAGGGTTTAAGCCGAATTCGTTAAGAAGACTTCTAGTTCTTGAGAAGGAATCAACAGGTAACTCATCAGAGCAATGAAAACCTTTTTCTTCAAAAGCATAGTTCAAAGATTCCATTTTTACTATTGGAGCAGTAAAAAACTCCACTAGTTACACCAACTTGTCGTCTTCACTGTAAAACTAAACATGGATACCAAATCCCAATTCAATTTTCTGTACCAGAAAGAAATTGGGTCAAAGTGAATGCTAAACTATTGCATCTTGACTCACTACTTGGAGAGCAAAAAACAAAATGTTACAACTTCACTCAAGAATTGAGGACTTGCAATATGACATGAACATATCACAATGCTTAAGCTTCCATAAAAAAGAGAAACTAAGAAAGATGAAATCTTTAATCATAATTTCCAATCCGAACTCAGTTTTCTGAGAAACCCAAAAAATGTGTCAATGTTAGTAATGAAAGTGACACAACTTGATTCAAGAACTGATGGGCTGTAACTAAATATGAGCAAAGCACATTGCTTAAGTTGCCACCAGAAGACAAACTAGAAAGATAAAATCTTTACTCCAAAACCCCTCAACATGGATGAAATCAAGAAAAAGATATGCAAGATCAGAAAGTTGAGAATATAATATGCTGGAACAAAGGAGCACTAAAAAGATTGATTTCTTTTACAAAGCAATGAAAACAATATGATAATAATGATGATAATATCATGATCAAACTTAAAAGACAATGACCATATGAGCAAGAAAAACAAAGAACATTAAAAGATGGGGTTTTTTGTATGCTTACAACAGGAAAAGTGGAAGAAGAGAGACCTGCTGAAAGTCTTGATTGTTTCTTTTAAGTGGTTTGAGGGTGAGATTAGATCTCATGTTTGATAGTTTTGTCATTTCCAATTCAGTTTCTATTTTGGTTTATGAGAAGTATTTAACGAAGGTTGTTAAAGGGGACCGAACTAGGATAGCGAGTGACGGAGTGAACCATAAAGATATAGTAAATGCAGCTAATTTGGTGTGTCTAATCACACTCTCAAAATCTCAAATACATTTGTTTATACGATAAAGATCCAATCAGATTCAGATCCATTTGTCCATTCAGATTCCAACAGTAAGCTCAAAATTGGGTGAAGTGAGTGCGTATAACGTTCAACGGCTGCGAGCACCATACATTGCATATTATTTTCTCTTTTTTAAAAAATGGTAATAACTTTTTTATTTTTGATCCGATTTTTATAAAATTTATATCAACATTTTTTATTTTTCATTATCTTTCAAATGAGACCAATATTGTCTATGCAATTTTAACATATTAACATTTGCGTGTAAAATATGTAACTTTACGTGTTAAAATATGTAACTCACGTTCAGTCAGGTCAAATGCAACTCGTGTGTATAAATATGTATCTCTACGTGTAACAATATGTAACTTTACGTAAAAAAATATGTAACTCGCGTTCAGACAGGTCAAATGCAACTCGTGTGTATAAATATGTAACTCGCGTGTATAAATATGTAACTTTACGTGTAAAAATATGTAACTTTACGTGTAAATATATGTAAGTCGCGTTCAGGCATGTCAAATACAACTCGCGTGTATATATATGTAACTCGCTTATAAAAAGATGTAACTTGCTTATAAAAATATGTAACTTGCTTATAAAAAGATGTAACTTGCTTATAAAAAGATGTAACTCACTTATAAAAGATGTAACTCAATGTATTATCAAATGTAACTGAGGCCACTGATCCACTCCCAAACAGATTCGATCTTCTATTTCACAAACCTATCATCTCCCAAACAGATTTGATTTTCCTTATAATCCAATACTCAGTAATATAATAGTTCGATAATTTCTTAAAATTACATACACAATATTGGTCTCATTTGAAAGATCATGAAAAATAAAAAATGTTGATATAAATTTTATAAAAATCGGATCAAAAATAAAAAAGTTATTATTATTTTTTTAACAACAAAAGCAAAAAAAAACAGCATGATGCGTCGTTTTGCAACCGGGCGCACCATCGTCATGGTGCGCCGGTTGCACCGTATAATTTGCCGGGTGAAGTGGTTACTGAGTTAAAATTGACGAAGCCCTACCTGAATCAGGTTGAAATATGACTTAATATAGAATTTATTTTGCTATGGAGTAATAAATAAATAAATAAATAAATAAATAAATAAATAAGAAAATAAATAAATAAATAAATAAATAAATAAATAAATAAATAAATAAATAAATAAATAAATAAATAACGAAACACATACTCCGTATACATAAAAGAATAAAATAATTTTTATTAAAATAGAGTTTTTTTAAAAGTATCGCAGTTAAGGGTAAAAAATCAATATAAGTTACTCCGATTTTTGTATGTTTTTTTCGCTTTCTTTCTTGCATTGTACTTCCCCCTTTTATTCAATAAAAGTTCCCCTTTCATTAAAAAAAATAGTTTAAGTTATTAACATAATCACTAATTTTTTTTTAAATAGCCATGATCACTACGTAACATGTCACAATTTTATAAACATCATTTATTTTAGTCATAAATATATCATTATATAAAAATGACATTTGATTTTAATTTTAAATTATTAACCGATTAGCATGTGGACTAAAAGTGTCACTTGTAGAAATATGATGATACATAAAATTGATAAAGTTAAATAGACGGAAGATAAAGCAATCAAAGGTCACTTATATGAGTATGTCCGTATAAGAATGATATATTTAGATATCTCATGAAACTTGATCAGATACACTTTTCTTTTTCTATAATTATCAAATTTGATCACTAACATTTTCTATACGAAATTATTTCAAATATAAAAATTTTATGAAAAATGTTTTTTGTTCAAAATACTTTCATAAAAGTATAAAAGTTGTAAGTTTCGCACAAATATATTAACTAAAATCATTTTTCAAACTTCGTTATCATTGATAAAGAAAAGTCAAATTAACTAAGTTTTATAGGATGTAGGAACACTTACCAATAAAGTTTGTGTTTGTAAGAGTTTCTTAGTATTTGTAAGAGTTTCTTAGATAGTGGTTAATATTGAATAATCATCTTTCGGACAAATTACATCAATACAAAAAAGTTTCCTTCCAATAATCACCCCTGAATCAGACTTGGAGTCAGTCATGTCTCGGAAGACGACGAAAATTAAAAGATAAATATTTAAATGAAAATGCTACCTCATAACCACGAGAAGCTTGACCTTCTAACTTGAATGAAAGAATGTATACACATTTCAATTAAATAACGATATTCAAATAAATGTATCCACATTTCTCTCTATAAGTGTATGTGTGAACAATGGAGCAAATTAACACTTTATTTCAATAGTGTTTGTTGACAAATAAGCTCCTAGCAAGTGTGAAACATTAAGAGGGTGCTATGAGATTGACGATAGTAACCTTGAAGTGAGGTAAGTAGTTTTAGGGAGAATATGACTTTGCGCCTCATGTTTTGAATGATATTTGACTTTGCATTTCATTTATAAAATCATTAATGTATGCACCTCATTTGTCTTAAAATTGTGAAGGAGTGGGGTGCAAAGTCAAATGATTTTATAATGAATTCAGGTGCATATATTAATTATTTTGAAAAATAGCTTAGAGTGTAAAGTCAAATTTCACCCAAAATATGGGGTGCAAAGTCAAATTCTCCTTATTTTTTATGATAGGTATCTAATAATAGTATTGATAATTGAAAGTTTGAAACTTATATATCCAGAAATTACTTATAAGTTTTTTGAATAAAAACTAATTGAAACTGAAAAAAGAGTGCTAATTCAACCAAATCCTTATAGCTTACCAGTAGTATAATAACGTGGATATGACGATATTTCAACATTGACATTTTGGTTATGTTTTAGTAAATTCAAGCCTTATCCTTTTAGTAATTTGATTATATACACTCTAAATGGACCTTTTCTGCTTTTGACTTGGACACTCGTTAAAAAGTTTGTTTGGAAGTGAAAATATGGTTCAATTTTTTAGATTAGTCAAACAAAACCTGTTTTTTTTTCTGAAGAATGAATATTTAAGGTATAAAAGGAACAAGATCCGCAGCCTTTATAGCAAAAGTATACTCCGGATTTAAGGATTAATCGGAACCGGAGTCCAGTGTGACGGCTGGGAATATCTGTTCTCCAACTCAGTGAGACATATGATTTATCATGGAGTACTAGTATTATATAATTGTGAACTTGTGGTTGTCCAATGAGAATAATAATAGTAATTGTTTGGTTAATGGCCCAACGGGGTTGGCCCATAAAACCCTTAAGGGCCGTCCTACGAACGTCCCCAGAGGGCACGAGACAACGAGCTACCTTTCCGCTTATCCTGGAGAGGTTCGTCCCCAACAGGGCCATGCTTCAGCTCCAAGACCCAGAGGACGTACGTACCGTGGCGTAGACAGTTGCCTTGAAACAGGGGCAGAGTCGAACGTTCGTTTTGCAGGACTTTGGACCCAACAGGGAGCAGTAAGCAAGCTCGAGGGGAAGAACGTCCCCACCCTTTGGTGGGAAGGCAAGATCCTGATAGGGGCAGAGCCTAACGCACGTCTCGCAGGACTTCGGGCCCAGCAGGATACAGGAGGCAAGCTCATGGGAACGAACGTCCCACCCCTTGGCGGGAAGCCAAGATCCTGGCAGGAAGCGCATTTAATGCAGAATATTTGGTTGTTGCGCATTTAATGCAAAAGATTTGGTGGTTGGAATCAAGCCATCCACAGCCCGCCACGTCAACACATCCAACTATCCATTGGCAGTATAAATAGTAGCATTTATTTCATTGTAACGGGTTGGCAACTAAACACTCTAATAGTATAGCAACTATAACAGCTCGTAGCATAGGCAAGGGACGAACGATCTCACGCCTTTGTATCGAGATTATTGTATTAAGACTTACTACTGGGCTTTCCTTGCTTGTTTCTGCATCTACTACGAAGTACTTTATTTCTTCCATTCGAAACCTTTGGGTCGTGTGTTGGGCCTACGGGTTGACGGAATAAACCTCAACAGTAATAATAATCACCCAAACACGCTAATCACTCTATGGTTCGATGACATTATTGTGACATTCTCAAAGAGAAAGTCACATGCTCAAAACTCATTACAATAAAGGATATTGACATTTAATAGAAGATAATTATGTGACACAAATCTCAAATGAAATTAATTTATTGGAAAATTTCTCGAAGTAGGAGTAAACATATTTGAGAATTTCAAAACAGAAATTCCATATTTTTATTCCCTAGGCCTAAATAGGAGTAATTATTATCAAGGTTCTAAAATACCAAATAATGTCATGTTTAAAGTTTAGTACTGCCAAAACATGACATTAATTACTCCTATTTAGGTAATAAAAATATGATAGTGCTATTTAGAAATATACAAATGTTTTTAGTCGTATTTAGGATGTTTTCATTTGGACTGTTTTCAGTCCCAGATCAGATCAAATCAGATTTAAACAGACCAAACCACACCAAACCAGACTTGAACAGTTATAAAATACACAGAGCTGAGACTAGACGTTTGTCAGACTAATCAAGACCCGACCAGATCAGACCAAACCTAAACAAACTAGACAAGACCAACAAATTTCAGTCCAAAAGAATACATTCTTAGCAGGGGCTGACCCAAGAAAGTCATCTTGAGGGGGCGAAAATATTATTTGGGGGGTTCAAAATATTTTTCGGAGGGAGAAAATTATTTTTCATATATATATACACTAAAAAAAATCTTGTTGGGGGGCGGTAACCCCCCTGGATCTGTACTACGGTCCGCCCCTGATTCTTAGAATAATTTCCCTAATTTATTTCATAAAACAATATGTTTGATACGTAGTATAAGTTAAACAGTTTGTCTAAAGTTGATAACCTATAAATTTATTAATTAAACATATTTTGGTCTAATACTTTTTAGGGAGAACTATCAAATAAGCCCTCGAACTTTCATAAAAAGTGCAAATAAGC